GCCAAATTTGTTATACTGGTTTTTAATTCAAAGACATTTGGGTATTGTTGTTCTTTATTATCATTACCAATCTATTTACGATATTTAATTTTTTTCGCAGCTTGGTCTCTTCTCATATGTTTTTATACCCAACTCTTTCTCAGTTTAGACCTTTTTTTAGTATTAAAATTTTGTGAATTACTAATTTTTTTTTTTGCATTTTAAGCAAATATATTAGATGATTCTTTATTTAAAGAAGGTATATTATTTACAGAATTTTTATTTTCTAATGAAGATTTATTATTTAGAGAGAGATTATCATCTAATAATAAATATAAATCTTGTTCATCAGAATATAAGAGTAATTCATTATCTGATATTAAGTTGGTTTCTTCATCTGGTTGTAAATATGATTCATCTAAATACACATTTTCATCTGATATGTTTTGTAGAGAAATTTTTGTAAATTTTATTAGAGAGATATGATTGTTTTCTTTTTTATATTCGATTTAATTGGTGATTCGCCACTCAACCAGAGAGCTTATAGTGTAACGTGATGCAGTTTACATATAGAAATTTGAGTTTTTAGAATGTGAGCTGCTTCTATTTAAAACTTTTTTTTGTACTAAGTTAATCACCTTTGGGCCTCTAATTGAAGTTGTAGAGCTTATCAAGACGAATCTAATGGTAGTTGAATCATCAAAATCAGCTTGGTGAATCACAAGATATCTTCGAAAATGTTTCGCCGACTATATAAAATTCTCTCTTTCGACAATAGTATCGCCAAGAGAATTTTACATAGTCGGCGAAATGTTTTTCGAAGATATCTCGTGATCCACAAAGCCGATTTTGACAATTCAATCACCATTAGATTCGTTTCGACAAGCTCTACAACTTCAATTAGAGGTCCAAAGGTGATTAACTTATTATAAAAAAAAGTTTTAGATAGAAGCAGCTTATATTTCAAAAACTCTAATTTTTATATATAAACTGCATCACATTATACTATAAGCTCTCTCTGGTTGAGTGGCGAATCACCAATTAATATAAATTAATTTGCTAATTATATGTCTTGTATAAGGTTGCTTGCTTGGCTTGAATAAAATCATCAGGAGATAAATTTATATTTATATGGGCTGTTTCTAAATAGTCACAACAATATTCATTGCATATATGCGATTGTTTATATTTAATATAATTGTTTTTTTTTTCTTGGTATTAATATTGTTTGTATTTTTACAATTAAATACATATGGATAATAATAAGTTGGTTATTCTGAGCGAAATTAATCTTTTAACAAAATAGATTGGTAATGATAATAAAGAACAACAATACCCAAATGTCTTTGAATTAAAAACCAGTATAACAAATTTGGC